GTAAGTAATATAAGGTAACTGAAGAAGACAAGGATAGCTATACCCTGAAGCATCGAAGAAAGAAAGGTTTCTCCGAGGACCTACACTCAACAGAGTGCTATTTAATATAATTTGCTACCTGCAGATATAGGGCCTTCAATAAATTATTAACCTACTGTTTTGTTAAATGATACCGCCCATATACAATTATTTAAAGATAGTAAAAACAAAGTCAGTGCAAAAACATTAAAGGACGTGTAGTACTCACTTCTATTAGTTTAAAGTTAGAAGTCACAAAGCATGTTGCCCAAGTAATCTGAATCAGTATTGCCATGCTAATGTAAACTAGGAGGAAAAGGACACCAGAGAACTTGGTGACTCAAAAAAAAGGCAGTTGTCTTTAATCTATCCTTAATCCTCTGGATCTTTAGATGGTGCCTATTAGCACACACACTTCAGTGATTAGACAATATAGAAAAAGTAATGCATTGCAAATTATATTTGAAATAGGACTCCACTAGTTTCTCAGTTACCTATTGCTTATTGGGCCTTTTAAAAAAGCCAAGTATGACACAATCAAAAAAATAGTGATTTACCTGCATTCTTTCCTGGTACCTGCCTTTGCAACTGTGCCAGCGAGGCCCTTAGATATCAACTGCAGAATTTAAGTAGCAGCTGCCTGATTTGCATCTCCTATCTAAAGGAAAACAATCATCAAGTTCAAATTTTCTAAAAGTGCCTTCCTGCCCAGATAAGAGATCACAGCTATGACTTCATAGAGACAAAACTGTTGAGATAAATGTATTACAGCTAGTTACTAGTTCTAGTACACATGCCACTTTCATGTGTCAAACAAATACCCAGTGTTATACATATGCACTGAGACTCTTTTTGTAAACTATTTAATTGGAAAAGACACTTTAGTTGAAAATTATATACTGATGATGAAAACTTTTTCATGACAATATTTATCACAAATACATTACTTTGTTATCACCATTCAGGGACACAAACTCTGAAGGGGAAACAATTCATTTTGTAATAATACACTTTATGATGTTTTCAGAAATTCATGGTGACAAAAGTTAAGAAGCACCTGAACTTTCTGTGTAGGTAGAATGTAAAACTGAAGCAGCCATGGAGAACAGAGTTGGCATTACTGTGACTTGAGTTCTTCACTGTTCCCAAAGAGGATTCAGAAGAAAATTACTCAAGTAAAACTACACACTGAAGAAATTTAAAAAAAATTTTCAATGAGTTTCAATGAAAATGTTCTTTATTAGTAAGCAAACACTTTTTTTGAAACTTTTGATTATATACATCATGCAAAATGACTGTCCTTAGACACTTGTCTATTTGCGTATCATGACAATTCTTTCTCCAAATGATTATATACGTTTAAAGTTACAGTAATTACAGTATTAAAAATGACTCTCAATGAAGCAAAACACTGAACACATGTGAAAGTACTGGCCATCACTTCTGGATGTTCAATCCCTTTCCTAATGTTAACATCTGCATCTTATAAAATTTATATACAAAAATGGCAGTCATTTTTTTATATGTGCATCTATAGGCACTCTACTTCATTGATTAAAAAAACAACATGGGGCTGGGAAGGTGGCTCAGTGGTAGAGTGCTTGCCTCGCATGCATGAGGCCCTGGGTTTGATTCCTCAGCACCACATATACAGAAAAAGCCAGAAGTGGCTCTGTGGCTCAAGTGGTAGAGCGCTAGCCTTGAGCTGAAGAGCTGAGGGTCAGCACTCAGGCCGAGTTCAGGCCCACACCGACAAAGCAAAACAAAACAAAAAGGAAAACTTCAAGGTTTGGTAAATGTTTTCCCTGTTAATCCAAACAGGACAATGACCTTTTATTTAAAATGTTTCTTTCAAGAATCACTTCATCAGGACAATCACTTTGCTTCATTTAAAAGGTAGTTTTACTAGCCAGGTACCAGCAGTTCATGAATGTAATTCATGGTGTGCACCTGTGATCTTAGTTAAGGATGGGAAGCTTTAGTAGGTGGAGGCGGCTCAGTCACACACCTGAGAGGGATAAGAACCTACCCCTGACATAATTAATGAAAAACATGGAGGCATGGCTCAGCAGTACTGAACAAGGCTCCAAGTTCAAAACCCTAATGTAGTTTATCACTGGTTATTTTTCATGAGCGTTCTTATCTATATATATATTTTTAAATAGACAGGTGTAGGGCATCCTATTGTATGGAAATTAAGGAAAAATTATCTTCTATGACAGAATTCTGCAATATTAAGATCTATACTTGTCTTATAAAAGTACTAGTGTTTCCAGGACTCAAAAATCCTAATTTCCTTGAACTAACCAGTGAGCCCAGGAAAAGATGACTCCCAGTAGTAACACACCCAAACCAACTAGCACTGAGTAGGTAGGTGTACACAACTTCTAGATGCCTGGAAATAGAGTACAAGTCTCCATGTCCAAAAAAATGGTAGAAGTGGTTTTGGAACTGAATGGGAGAGACTGGAGGAACTGGGAGGTACATTGAAAAAAGCTCTGACTGCTTGACACACTCTTAGAAATGTAGAGATTAACAAAGAATATTAAGTCATTAATAGATAGTTCACAGAAGTGTGGCCACTGAAGGCCTGGAAGGCAATATACAATATTTATGGAAAATTAAAGAGATCACTGCTGTATAGTTGCAAACTTATATGAGATTTGTACTTATTTGCACGCAGAAACCATGGGAGAGATTTCCAAGAAAATAGTGGAAGGTATTATCTGCTCTCTTCTTGCCAATTGTAGTAGAATGTGAATGTAAACAGCTATACTGTGGAGAGAGCAAATAGATAAGTGTAATGCAACCAGAATCTGGCGGAAGAAATTTTCAATCTACTCAAATAGCCAAAGACACTGAATTGAAGAGAGACCTGAGTGTGGCAGTATAGACTTGGGCTAATGTCTCAGACATCAGTAACCCAAAAGGAAGAGATTAAAGATATGACTCAGACTTCTGGTATCAGACTCAGATAAAATAGATGGGATTATCTAGGAAAGATACACTATCTCCACGACATTCACAGGACACCTACAAGTTTATTTTTCTCTTTTTCTTTGAGATAGTGTCTCATTATGTAGCTCAGGCTGGTCTTGAACTCACAATTTGCAGCCTCCTGAGTGCTAGGACTAGAGGTGGTATACCTCTGAACAATGTCATGTCAAGGCATACCTTGACAGTATGAGAGCAGAAACTACTCTCTTAAATTAAAAAGTAGAGTGTATGGTATAAAAAAACGTTTCCATCACTCTCCAAGATAAAAAGAAGAAACAAACTCCTACAACTACTCAGATGGAGGTATGTAATACTTTCTGTGAGAAGGAAGGATGCCTGAAGACGTTATGACCCCAGTGGACTGAGCACTGAGTCACAGCTTAATCCTGGGCTCTGAAGCCTACTGGAATACATTACTTGGCACCTGTGACTCATGTTTATAATTGCTATGCTACAGTTGTCCAGCCATTATGTGTGGAGCAGGTAACTTGATTCCTAGATTCACAGGTAGAGAGGCAGAATATCCCTAGAGACACAGATGCTCTCTTATACTTGATGTATATGACATTTGGGACTTTTCAGCTGGCCAATTCAGGTAAGATTTTGAGTTGATGCTGTAATCAACATGTTCAGTGAAGCTTTGAGTATCTTTGGATGGGGTACCTGGAATGAGGAGTCTGAGACAGCATAGACTGTGTAGGCAAGCATAATGTCTCTTTTACTCCTCAAGATGTTCATGTCCCAATCCTCAAATACAGTAATCCTGAATCTGATGGACCCCATCCAGTTAGGAGAACATCTCTGGCTGATATCAAGAACATGTAATGACAGAAGAGTCAGAGGACACAGTGTATAGGCTTCTAGGATAGATGGGGGTCATAAACAAAGGAGTACAGGTGGTATGTAGAAGCTGGACCAACCTGGAAATGATTTTCCCATAAATCCTCCTAAAAGGAGTGTACTACAACCAAACCCTGATCTTTAGCACAGTGAGCACTATGCTGAACTTGCAACCTATAGATTGGGAAGATAATGACTGTGCTATTTCAATGTGTGTGTGTGTGTGCGTGCGTGCGTGCACGTGTGCACATACACACGCACCCGTGTTCATGTGTATGCATGCATGCGCCTGTGCACTTTTTCTTTTTTTTTTAGTGCAGTACTGGGGCTTGAACTTGGGATTTTGAGCTCGTGTTTGGCTTTTTCACTCAAAGCTGCTATTCTACCACTTGAGCCACACCTCTACTTCTGACTTTTTGTGGGCTGATTGGAGATAAAGAGCTCATAGACTTTTCTTCCAGGGTTGGTTTCTAACATCCATCCTCAGATCTTAGCCTCTTTAGTAGCTAGGATTATAGGTATGAGTCACCAATCTCCAACAGATTCTGTAATATTTTATGGCAGAAAAAAACAAAGAATCAACCAACCAGAGGTAGTGACCAAAGATGAATCAGTGTCTAGAAAAAATAAAAGCTTTTCTATTATTCTTGACATAACTCATCATTTGAGAAATACTTGGCTTCAGTAGAAATGCAAACATTTGGGCTAGTAATTCTTTAGACTACCTGATTGAATTGATACTTTTCTGTTTGTACAGTAGTTTTGTTCTGAATTAGAATACATTCTGAGCTGCTCATTTAGAAATGGATAGAAAATCTGTTAAATGGATAAATGAATGTGATCAGGAGAATTATAATGACTTGTTTTTAAAGTGCTGTTTGTTACATCTCAAGAGTTGCTGACTTTCTTTCCTTTGGATTCTAATTTACGATGGGCCATAGTTCCACAAAATACAAGACCAAAGTGTATTTTTGTGATACAATTAACAGAGCTCAATCTGTAAGTAAAAAGGATGTGTAAAAATCTTAATAGGAAGCTGAGCACCTGGGACTCACAGTTATATTCCTATCAGGAGTTTGAGATCTGGAGGTTTGAAGTCCAAAGCCAGCCTGGTAGAAAAGTCCAGAATACTTTCCAAAATAACCAGCACAGAGTTCAAACCCCAGTGCCACAAAAAAGACAAAACAAAACAAATCCCCAATCTCTTAAAAGGAGAAATAATTGCATGAGCAAACAATTTCAATAAAACTCAGAATACAGACAGTTTTCAATATGTATTACAGAAAAATTTTTATCTTATATGATCAAAAGGATTTTAATGGCTGTTGGTCATTTCTGCATCAGGAAACTTTAGTGCAAATTTTACCAAGTACATGTATATAAAAAAGAGGTTTTTTCCTTAAACAAATATTTCATCATTGTTACAAACCGAGCATGTAACAAACTGGTTGGCTTAAATACTTAAAACCTATCAACTTAAGCCAGCCCTGCAACTAAAAATTTGAACATATTTATGGTCTACCCTTAGTCCAAATTAACTTAAACCAAGGCTGGAAGACAGAAAAACAAAACCAAATTTATCTGGTATAATAATAATTTCTATGCAGAAAAGTATTTTTCTTATTAACATGGCACATTACCTATTTCTATATGCTACTGCATAGATAGTATTATTTCAGTTGCTGGAGTATCACAGTGTTAAGAATATCTGCTTCTTGCAGTGTCAGGCTTTCATCTGTTAGCTCCTTATTTGGAAATGAAGTCACAAGAATAAAGTCAACAGTTGCAAATTCAGGGCGAGACTGTACAATAAATTCCCGAACATCCAGGATCCTGAAGAAATAAAAATAAAAAATTAATATGCTACAAACAAAGGTGTATTTCCATGCAAGCAAAAATTAAATCATAATATAAGTTACACAATTCTAGTTTAAAGGTGGTGCAATTTTCTTTAGTTTACATTATTTCAATGGGAAAATTTATCTCAGTCCTCAATTAAAATACAATGAATAACTTGGAGTGAACATTTACTTTTACTGTAAATAATCTGAGTTATACATAAAGTATTAACAATACTACTATATTAAAATTACAAGCTTTATGCTGGAGTAGAAAAAATGTTAGGACACCTGGCTGGTTTATGACAACATGAGTTGCATGTGGCTACATGCATGCATGTAATCTCAGCACTAAGGAGGCTGGGGCAGCAGGACCATGACTTTAAGGCCAGCCTGAGCTATATAGCTATATAGTAAGGCACTGCGTCAAAAAGAATTTTTAAAAAAATAAAGGAAAAATATTAAAAATTATGCTCATATACATGGAAACTTAACTGAAAAAACTTTATGTGCAGAAGAAATATTAAGTATTAAAGGGACACTTAAAACATACTATACTTGACACCAACACAAACTATTTACACTGTATTTTTATATCACAAATTCATATTACAAAGAATTTGTGATATAAAAGTTTATATAACTCTTATTGGAATTATCACTTTTTTGTGGGAGGGTATCATTATTCTTGAGATAGTCTCACTATAGCCCAGACTAGTCTTGAACTTAAAATTATCTTAAATTTTTAAAAGTAAATTCACCCAAGATTTTTTTCCCTACTCAACTTCAATCAGCAGCAATGCAACACTATAGCTCTTAATTTATTTTTTAGTGGTTGGAATTTATATAGGGATTTGGATGATTTGCAGGAGTTGCTTATTTATTATACATGACTACTGCCATTTATTCTGTCAAAAGCTCACTTTAACAATATAAGGGGACAGGTGCCCGTAGCTTGTGCCTGTAACTGTAATCCTAGAGGATCGCAGTTCAAAGCCAGCCTAGGCACAAAAATCCCCATGAGATTCTAATCTCCAATTAACCATGCAGTAACCAGAAGAAGTGCTGTGGCTTAAGTGGTAGAGCACTAGTCTTGAGCACAAAGAGGCTCAGGGACAGCCTAGCCCCTGAGTTCAAGCCCCACAACTGACAAAAAAAAAAAAAGTAATAAAAGGAATTTCATATTATAAATCTCATTTTACTTTGTTAAGTAACATTATATTATAGCAAATAGATATTCTGTTGGTAAAGCAGCTTACCTGTGTGTACTATTGAATCTTTGTATCAAACGACTGCCATCTGCTAATCGGATTTGAATTTTGGTAGTGGGCACTGAATCATCAATAAGAACAACTGCATTAAATAATGACTTGTCCTCTTCTTCTGGGGAGGAGGGTGTACTGACTATTTCAGGTGTAAGGCTACGGGAGAAGATTTTTCAGAATCAGAACACAAGTCTGAACATGGGAGACACCATACACTGAAGGTACAGAATAGCTGGAACTATAGCTGGCCGTCAAGCAACCCTTTGTATGACTTCAGGACAGGCAGGATACAGCTTCCTGTGCTTCTCCTCTGCTTCTCCCAGGGTTTTTCATCATATTAAAATTGTTTTGGATATTACAATTCTCATTTACTTATCTAGTATCATTCAAAAGCCTAACGGCATTTTCCTACTTTATCTCTGAAATTTCAGACGGTTCAGCATAAGTTTGATTAGAAATCACAGCAATTAATATCAAAGAATGATTAAGATCACACTCATATACACCTGACTGGGGGCTGGGAAGGTGGCTCAGTGGTAGAGCGCTTGCCTTGCATGCATGAGGCCCTGGGTTTGATTCCTCAGCACCACATAAGCAAAAAGAAAAAAGCCAGAAGTGGCGCTGTGGCTCAAGTGGTAGAGCGCTAGCCTTGTGCTGAAAGAGCTGAGGGACAGCGCCCAGGCCCAGAGTTCAGGCCCAGGACCGGACCCTCCCCCCCAAAAAAATACACCTGACTTCAACTCTCAACTATGTTAATTGTGTAAGTTAATCAATCTCTTTGAAATCCCATTCTATCACACTTATACATACATTAAAAAAAATATACACACAGATATATGTACCTATATATGGAGGAATAAACTCATGAAATCATGTAATCCCAGTAAATCCTTAATATACTGCCTATAACACAATGTTTCAAAAGGTTCTAGCTATATTTACACATATCAGCACAAACCTTTTTAAACAATTTACTTAAAAACATCTGATTTAAGTAGTTACTGCTTGGCAAAAACAAAGGTAACTGAAGTATTAATGAGGAATAAAATTATATTCATTGTGAAGAATTTATAATGAAGCTTACTAGACAGAACACCTTACTACTTGACTTTGATTAATAGTGACGTTACATTTTCTTAGTAGCTTGAAGATTTAAACAAGTTACAATCGTTTGGCAGGATGGTTCATCATGACAAATAATGTTAATCTCAAAAATGGGGGGGAGTTAGTTGAGAACAAATTTAGTTCAATCTTTTACAGACACAAACCTTATTCTCCCAGTCATTCTGAGAGATTCTTTTACAGCCCTCATGGTTAATCTAACATAGACAATGCACCTGGTTTCCTGTAAGTTATTTTATCATATTAAAAAGTCTCTGAGCATCCAGGCTTTAGTTCAATGTAAATTGAACCTATCATGACTCACTCCATCAAAAAAGTTGCTCTAGAATACAAGTTTAAGATAGTAAAAATTAATACTCACTGTTAACACTTTCCCTTTAGCTAGTTTAGAATTAATTTGAGAAAATATATAAGGATAAAAAAGGAAAAAATTATAGCAAAGAATTGCTATATATTAAGGATTTTCTTCTTTTTTTGTCTCAAGTTTAGAAATAAGGGCTTAAAAACTTAAGTGTAAAGCCATTTACTGTGTCAACAGTATAAATGAGAAGGAAGAAAGTCCAAGGGCAGGGCCAGGAGAATGCATAGGACTTTCTTTGCAACATTAATAAGCAGATACACACATAATTGCCATCATTTTCATTGCCACCATCTCCAACTCCTTTGCATCTGAACCATCTTGTGAGACAGTGTTGCATAATGCATTAACATGGTTTCTGGAGCCACACTGCCTGGTTACAATATACTCCACTATGTAGGTGTATGACCCCAGGAGTCACTCATGCTCACTCCACTAAGTCTTCTTGTTGGTAAAAGACAGGATGTGAAGACTTACATTCATGAGGACACAAAGGCACTTGAAATAAAGTCTTTGTGTAGCTGGATTTATACTGTAATGACCCTAAGGGCAGCTGGAAGGAAAAGTTACCACTTTCTCCTCAGTACTAAGTGAGGATGCTGGGTTTACTTGGAGCTCTCTCTTCTCCAGGACATAAAGCTGCCTCACATTTCTGTTTCCATCATCTTAAAGCTTTCTGTTTTAAATTGTGACCAGGTCAGGCTTTTCTAAAATATAAAAATAAAGTGTATATTCTAGATGAGGAAAACTTTTTATGCTCTTTGTAAAAATTATGTGTGTCAAAATGAACAGTAACACTTGAGAACTGGAATAAATGGACCGTGGGGTGAAGGTAGGTCAGCCACACTCATTGGCAAGAACTATTTCACAGAACAAATACCATGCTCATAGCTAAAGCTGAAAACTAAATGAGGTCACAGTCTAGCAAAACCAACCATTTTTAATAACTTGAATTAACTTTAATGTTTAGTTTTCAAAGTCACACTTCTGTTACTTGTTTCCCCTAACATCCCATTCAATCAACCATAGTGACTTTTTAAAAATTTTATTTTATTGTAAAGATGTTGTGTTTCAAGTTTACATTTAGACGATTATTTTTAAAAGAGCAGAAAGTTAAGTTGGGCACTGCATGCAATCCTAGTACTCAGGAGGATGAGATCTTAGGATCACAGTCTAAAGCCATTCTGGGCAGGAACGTATGTGAAATTTTAATCCCCAATAAAACGAATAAAAAGCCAGAAGTCAAGCTGTGGCTCCAATGGTAGAGCACTAGCCTTGAGCAAAAGAAGCTCAGGGACAGTAAAAAGGCCTTGAGTTCAAGCCCCTAGGACCAACACAGAGAAAGAAAAAGAGAGTAGAAAGAGTAGAGAGAAGAGAGAGGGGAGGGAGAGGGGAGAAGGGCAAAAGGGGAGAGAGTGGAGAGAGGGGGGAGAGAGAGCTGGGAAGTTAACTGATAAAACAAGGTCTTGGCAAACAGGAGGAAAGCATGTGATACTAACTTCCTCTATTAGGAGAGAGAACACTTTTTATTATCCTCCAAGTTACGGAAGAAGGGGAGGATGGATATAGTCCTTGGATACTGAAGTTAACACCAAAGTTCCCATTTGGCTTTATTTCTGGTACTATTTCTACAATGGGGCAAAAGCAAACAAATCTGAGATGGGTAATATGTACAGCAGAATGAACGCTTAATCAAGCAGGGAACGTCTACAGAGTATTTGGGGCCAGCCCTCTGCAAATGAGAAGGCACATCACTGCCTTCTCAGCAGCTGAGACTGTCCCCAGTCGTGTCCAGACACCGAAGCAGACAGTCCAATGACTGTAGAAAGGTGAAGGGCTGCCCAAGAACTGGGATAAGCACAGAAAGAAAGGAAGGAAGGGGCTGTTCGGCATATCCTTAAGGGTTCTGGGGCCAAGATGAAGTCAAACTCCAGATCCAGAATAACAAACAGAATATCCAAATTGACTAGGCAGTATGAAAAGAGGCAGGAACTGCTCTTTAAGGATCAAGATCGACTTCAAATAATGAGTTTTATTTTTATACATACCAATGCAAAAGCCTCAGTGATGGTCCACACTCTAGTCCTTCTGTCAAAAATGCTGATGATTAGCTGGGCACTGATGGCTCATGCCTGTAAACCTAGCTACTCAGGAAGATGAGAGCTGAGGATCACAGTTACAAGCCAGCCCACGCAAGAAAGTCTGTGAGATTCTGAGGTATCCAATTAACCATCAAAAGCTGGAAATGGATCTGTGGCTCAAGGTTAGAATGTCAGCTTTCACATAAATAGCTAAAGGATAGTACCTAGGCACTGGGTTTAATTAAGCACCAGTACCAGCAAGCATGTAGGGGCACACGCACACACGCGCGCGCACACACACACACACACAAACACACTTGCTAAGTCTACTTGTTGAGCTCTACCTTATCCTGTTAATTTTTACAACTTTTTTTTTTGTCGGTCATGGGGCTTGAACTCTGGGCTTGGGCTCTATCCTTCAGCTCTTCAGCTCAAGGCGAGCGCTCTACCAATTGAGCTACAGCTCCACCTCATCCTGTTAATTTTTAAATAATATAGCTCATGCTACCCCCTGTACCAGTAAGCGTGTAGGTGAGCACACGTGCGCACACACACACCGACTTGCTAAGTCTTTACTAGTTGAGCTCTACCTTATCCTGTTAATTTTTAAATATAGCTTGTGCTACCATTGCAAGTTTAGTTTTCCATCAATGATTTATTTGCTCTTATTATGTGAGCCTACTTGCTAATAACCCTCCCCCCAAAACACACATTGCTAATATTTATATTAGGTTTATCCATAATCAATAGCGAATCACAAGATTTTGTTAACTTTCTTCTCTATTTGTACTTAAGACTGCCATCTATGGAAGAAATGGATTGTTCCCCTCTTTTTTGCCAATTCAGGAAATAGTTGCTTGAGAAGAGTTACTTTAGAAATTTCTTCCTAAATAAATAATAGTTAATTGCTAAGCTTTTGTCTTACTACTTTTTTGGGTGAGGAGTGTTGGGGAATCAAGCCCATTGAGCTATACTTCCAGTTCCTCAACATATTTTTTAATGTAAAATCTTCACATGAACTGTTCAATTTAATACTTCATTTGCATTGAATTATATAGTAACACGTATTAAATATAAGTTCATGTGTATACAGGTTTGCACTATCACACTAAACTCCTAAATATAAAATTTCTGTACAATAGAAGCCAAAAAACTTAGTGGATTTATTACACTCCCCGCAGTTGTGATTATACCAGTGCACCAAGCAAACAAATAATTGTAGTATGCCTCTGTGTCCAAGGGTGCTACATTTATGGACTTAAAACTCTGGGTTGAAAACTTTCAGGAAAAAAAATATATAAGTCAGGCATGGTGCCTTATGCCTTTATTCTCAGTACTTGGGAGATTAAAGCAAGAGAATCAGAGTTTGTGGCTACACAAAAAGACAATTAAGAAAAACCTACCTTTATTGGCAGGAAGGGAATTTTTAAGTAGCTGTGATTAGGCAGTGAAGGACTTGAGTTGTAAAAACAAAGCTAAGTCAACCATACTCCTGTGTCTTCTGTATTTTCTAGGAAGCAATCTCCATCAAGGGAAAAGAATGAGAGAATAAAGACAGGAAATAAAAATTTAAAGAGCCATATACAAAATTCCTGTCTATTTTGAGACAGGACAAAGGAATTGATAAGCAATGTAAACATGGCAAATAGATTTGAAAAGGATGGAGTAGCATAAAAAGGAATAAAGACCCATAAAAGAGTAGTAATGCATGGAGGAAGAGAGGCTACTTTTCTAATATATTTTATTACTTATGAAGATTATGTCAAGCCATGGTTATAAGTAAGTCATTCAGGGCTGGGAAGGTGGCTCAGTGGTAGAGCGCTTGCCTTGCATGCATGAGGCCCTGGGTTCGATTCCTCAGCACCACATAAGCAAAAAAGAAAAAAGCCAGAAGTGGCGCTGTGACTCAAGTGGTAGAGCGCTAGCCTTGAGCTGAAGAGCTGAGGGACAGCGCCCAGGCCCAGAGTTCAGGCCCCACGACCGGACCCACCAAAAAAAAAAAAAAAAGTAAGTCATTCATATATTATGCCATGCATATTAGCATTTAAATTGTACTATTCAAAGTCCTATAGTTTCCTTGGAATGGTCTCAGATTCAATCCTTCCTTCACTTGCTATCAAATGAGCTCAGGTTTTATAGACAAAGCTTGCACTCCAAAATAAAGAATGTGGATACTTAAACTATACTGAACAAGCTAGGTGCCGGTGGCTCACACCTGTAATTCTAGCTACTCAGGAGGCTGAAATCTGAGGATCATGGTTCAAAGCCAGCCTGGGCAAGAAAGTCTGTGAGACTCCTATCTCCAATTAGCTAGCAGAAAACTGGGAACGGCACTGTGGCTCAAGTGGCAGAGTGCTTGCCTTGAGCTTAAGAGCCCAGGGACAGTGTCTAGGCCCAGAGTTCACACACAAACACACTCCCAAGACCAACACACACACACACACACACACACACACACACACACACAGCTTCCTGGACACCATCACTGTAAGCACACTGATCCTGCTGCAAGATCTTAGTACTCAAGGCAGACATGCATGCATAAAGCCATCATGTATGATGTAAAGTACCCTATTGTCTGATGTACTCAGCAACCCTTCACAATTCCCCATTTGAAACCATGTGCTCTAAAAGAGGAGTAAGGCATAGTGGCGAAAAGCGAACACCTCAGATACTTCGGTTTGAACCCTATGAGACAGCTATTTTCTTTCTTTTTTTAAATTTTAGTTTTTTGTAAAGTTGCTGTACAGAGAGGTTACAGTTACATCAGTAAGGTAATGAATACATTTCTTGTCAGGCATTGTTAGCTCCTCCTTTCTTTTTCTCCCACTATTCCTTCCTTCCCCTACCTTCTCCCACGCTCCAGCCCCCAAAATAAATTCTAAAGTTCATTTCCAACATAGTGTCTAGTGAGTCTCATTGTTGTAATGGGTCATCTTGTGTCCTTGTTTCAGCATTTTGTTATTCCCCTCCCCAAATTAGGTAAATATATATACAAGATGCAGAGTATCAAAATCAAATACAGTAACAACAGGGATATACCACAGGAGGAAGAACATACAAAAGAAACAAAGAAAAAAAATCAAAGAAAAAATAGTATATTACAAACAACAACAAAGAAAAACCTCTTGTGGGGCTGGGAAGGTGGCTTAGTGGTAGAGCACTTGCCTTGCATGCCTGAGGCCCTGGGTTCGATTCCCCAGCACCACATAAGCAAAAAGAAAAAAAGCTGGAAGTGGCACTGTGGCTCAAGTGGCAGAGCACTAGCCTTGAGCTGAAGAGCTGAGGGACAGTGCCCAGGCCCAGAGTTCAGGCCCCACAACTGGACCCCCCCCCCCAAAAAAAGAAAAACCTCTTGTGTTCTTGTTTTGAGGTTCATTTCACTTAGCATCATCTTATATGGTATTATGTACATAGCTTTGGAGATTTTCTGCTCATCTGATAAGATTATACTAGGCATATACTAATTATTGCAAATAAGGGAAACCATGGGACCTATATTTGTTTGTGTCTGGCTTACTTAATATGATTTTTTTCCAAGTCTTTCCATTTCCTAACAAATGGAGCAGTGTCATTCTTACTGATGGAAGCAAAGAATACCATTATGTGTGTGTGTGTATATATACGCATTTTCTTGATCCATTCATCTACTGAGGTCACCTGGGTTTTTTCATATCTTAGCTATGGTGAATAATGTTGTGATAAACATAGTTGTGAGACAGCTATTTTCTTATTGTGACTATAAAATAGAGCACTAATAGTATCTGTGCCTGAAAAGACTGTTGATAAATTAATGCAGGAAAATAATCAGAGAGAACCAGAAACACAGTAACTGCAACCTAAAAGTTCGCTACTAATATTTTATACCAGATTCACATATCTACTTCCTTCAAGAAGGTCATAAGTTCATAGTTTGGTTTTTTACTCTGAAGACTGGCTTGCTTTTATTATTCTCAAAAATAAAATTCAGGTTGAACAAAGCAGTATACTTCTCACTAGGAATTTTACCTTCCAAGTTTTTGTCCTTCTCCACTGAAAGCCTTGAACCTCAGTCTAGGTTTTGTGTACTCCTGATCCTGATGGTCTTCCATATCCAGATCCACCTGGCCACCATGAGCCAGTCGCTGGAGCTCCAGGGGTATCTCCCTTCAAGAGGGGGAAGAGGTATGAGTATGAGTTAAGGTTTTGAGAAATGAAACCACACTGTTGAGATTACCGTGATTAAGTCATGAGCTGTACAAAATTTCCATGGCTATTTGATCTTTTTTATTGCAAGTTACATACACTGTTTCTTAGTGGGTCTCAACACAGGAATGACATAGTGGTCAAAGCAATATTGTAGTGCATTAAAAACTATACTGTTAAAATAACAACTGATACCTAGATAGCAGTAGAAAATTCCTATTTTTTTTTAGTTAATACAAACATTTATTTCTAAACTGCCTGCAGGAAGTTCTGTGCCCCGACAGGTGTTGGACTGTTGGGTCATTGATGGGCACTGCTTCCCTTCACTGAAGAAGCAGGGCTGTGGGAGGTTTGGAGATGCACAGTGAACACTTGGATGACACAGAATTATAGGCTGCCAATAAAAACAACTCTGAGCCTAAACCTGCTTGAAATATATTTTGTTACTAGACTTTGAAATTTCCAGGCATGTAGTTTTCGATGTAAACTGAGAGAAGACCACATTTTGTTTGGAACTTTAACAACTTCTTGATTGCAATACTATAGCAACAACTTTATTAAGTTATGCCTCATTTTTTGTTTTTATACTAGTGACATTTACATGAGTGCTAAACTGAACAAATACACAAGTTTTTTATTTTTTGTTGTACAGCCTTTTGAACTCAGGACTTCATCTTTTGCCACGCAAGCATCAATTTGGTCATGCTTTTATTTTTTTTCCAGGTAGGGTCTCAAGCTTTTTTCCAGGGTGGGGCTTGGACCATGATCTTATCTCTTCTGTCTCTCACACAGCTGGATAGAGGTATGAACTACCATGTTCAGATTGTTGAGATAAGGTCTCATTAACTTTTTTGCCCAGACTTGCCTTGAACTGTAATCCTTTTTACCTATGCCTCCTAGAAATTACAGACCACCAGTCCCAGCTTACTACTTCTTGTCTGCTGTTGAGGTCTTACTTGAACACTTATAAATTGAAATGGCAATTTATACTAAAGAAATAAAAGCAGATCATCAAAAATTGATACATATTTCAATTTATGATAAATCACTTTAATATATATTTAAGGTGGAACATTTATCAATATTTGGCAAAATAATGTGGATAGACAATAATTTCTGAAGTTTTTTACAGGACAGTGGAAACAATATACAAAATATTATAAAGAAGCAAGGCTGGAGATGTGACTCAAGTGGTACAGCACCGGCCATGAGCAAGAATGCTGAGTTAGAGCTCAGGTTCTGAGTTCAAGCTCCAATGCCAGCACAAATACCCAATATATACACTGGAGACAATGGATCTTATAATTAAGAACCACTAATTGCTACCATTCTTTCATTCAATGAGCCTTTTATAAAATTCTTCCTAGTTATGACTTTCTAACATGTGTGCCTCAGATTTTAAAATCCTCTTAATATACCATTTGCCTGAAAATTAACATACAAAGTTTATAAATTATTTTAACAAAAAGTTAGTTTTGATCTATATCACAGTATAAAATCATCACTGTTTTCTTGTGGCATCTGTTCAAGATATCCCATCAAATGATGTGTTTCTTTTAGTGGCTCAAAGGTTCCTCCAGCTCACAGCTCTTCCCAGTGACTTAAACCATTCCATCCAAATAATAGCTACCACAATATACTGCCTCCCGGGACAGCTTCACATTTTTCTCAATGACTTAAGCACAGTTTATAGAATGTCTTGTCTTTGTGTGGTTTCTTATTTGTACAGAACTTCAAATAAAATTTATGCTAACTCATCTAAAACATCTTTCCTCCAGAGTTCCCTGACTATTTCAACTCCAAAGAACATTCTACTTCAGCTACTGTCTTGTATTTTTCTTCACTTGCAAAAAGCTCTACCTTCAATCCTGTATGTAATATAACCTACTTTGGTCTCTTCCTCATACTTTATCTCTCAGTTTATCACAAATCTTGTATCTTTAGTTGTATTTTTGCTTGGGAATGATACCATTGTCACCTGGTGAAATTGTACGGTAGAAAAGCTTTTATTAACATACCAAAATCACTTGACTCTCCATCCTTTGGCAAGAAGGGCTGGTAAGTTGCAATGCTCGTTGCATGAGTCAAGGCACTTTATATCTGGTTTATGGCTGAATATTATAACTTAAAACCTTTTGAAATCTCTGTCAATAATGCCATTTTAAAAGGGTTTTTATTAAGTTGCTGGATTTAAGGCATACATGCAATGAAGAGTTATCCCGCCAATAAGGAGAATAGTGGATTTGTGGATAGAGAGCTACATATGAATTGATTCACTGATTTATTTCAACAAAATGTTTCATCTTGGAGTGGAGCTACATTTTCATCAGATTTAAAAAGGGTGAGTAGCCAATGGCCCTCTGTACAAAGAATTAGATAAACTACCTCCCCAGCAATGACTTATATGATAGAGCCCACTAATCAATTGTTAAAAACTAGTAGCGCACAACTGAGCAATAGTCTGTTTAAAAAAAAAAATTCTCTGCACTCCAAGAAACAATAGAACATAAATGATACATCTTACCCTCTTTTAACAGACTCCAAAAATTGAGCATTTGTTGGATCACTATAAGGCCTCAATTCTCCATCATCTAAACTGAAACCATTGCTCCACAGTTTAAGCAAAATCTGGACCTGTATGATCATAAAAATTAAAACTATAAGAAACCATTTTCAAACAATTTTAAGATTTAAATGTCATCTTACATCATATTATGCAATTAATTTATTTGGAAGAATCTGTTCTGTTCTCTATTCAAAGTTAAAAGATATGGAACCGTATGTGTTTGCTTAGCAGACTTTTTAGCTTAACAAAAAATGACATTGGTTGCAAGCTTCTGCAGATGGACTCTGGCCTCGGTGTACAAACAGAGCAATGAGACGGCAGCACCTGCCACCCAGCTACCCCCATCCTGCTCCTTTATCTACAACAAGCAGGGCTGACCCTCCAACCACCTTCCAAGAAACTCCTAATGTTTAAAATAAATAGCAAATAATAGAATGAAATTATAATTCCAAAGTTTCAAATGCAATAGAATGACCTTATGTGTTCTATGTTAACTCATTTTACATTATGACTATATATAGCGTATGTTATATATATACAAGTATATATTAAGGTTATATATAATACGGGTATAATGTAAAATAAATATTAAGATAGAAATATACACCAATAAATGCATCAATATAATATATAATTTGAAATAATTATTATGTATGTTAACTATGATGACATACATTTCTTCTACAAAGTTATGAATCTCTAATTAAGTGCAAGGCTGACTGAGAAATACTAAAATTGAGATGGAAAACTCACACACTGGTCCTTAATCCATATATCAAAAAGTAACAACAAAGAGATTTTAAATTTATAAAAAAACAGTAGTAACTAGAGGCAGATACTTAAACATTTGTTTTTGTTATTGTACATACATCTTGAAGTTGATTTTCTCCATAGATATATTCAGACCGTTTACAAAAGGAATTGCCTAGTCTGTATCCTCCACCTGTAAATGACTAAAATACACAGTAAGTAGGTAAAAAATTCACTAAAGGAATAATCTAAATGTTATTAATGCTTGATGAATTTGTAAACTAGTAAATCATAACTGCATAACTGCCAAACAGGTTCACAATTACTAGGATAATTTTATATTAGAATGAAGACATAATGTTATAGAGAAGAAAGAAATTAAGTTTCCTCTCTCCTTCCTTCCCTCCTTCCCTCCCTCCCTCCTCTTTCTCTCTTTCTTTTTTTCCTGCTCATGGGGCTTAAATTCAGGGCCTGGACACTGTTTCTTAACTCTTTTGCTTAATGCAAATGCTCTATCCCTCTGAGCCAAAGCACCACTTCTGGTTTTCTGTTGGTTAATTGGAGATAAGAGTCTCACAGGGACTTTTCAGCTCAGTCTGGCTTTGAGCCATGATCCTTAGATCTCAGCCTCCTGAGTAGGTAGGACTATAGGTGTAAGCCACTGGCACCTGGCACAAGTTTCTTCAAATCAGAAGTTGAACTAATTTAAGGTAATCTTATGCGCTAAAATATGTATTTTTAAGAATATATAGTCATCTATTTTGTAACAAATTTTATAATAAAATTGTACTTCAAGAGTTAAGTTTTACAGGGTAAAGAAGAAATATCTATAAATGAACATGTTACCTTGAAAAGCTCTAATATATTTTATAAACTACTTTTTTAACTATAATAAGTCATCTATTACTGTACTTTTTTTTTTTTTTATCCACCATGGGACTTGAACTCAGGGACTGGGCACTGACCCTAAGCTTTTGTGATCAAGACTAGCATTCTATTACTTTGAGCCAAGTGCCACTTTCCAGTTTTCTGGTGGTTAACTGGAAATAAGAGTCTCACAGACTTTCTTGCTCCAGCTGGCTTGGACCTGCAATTCTCTTATCTCAGCCTTCTGAGTAGCTAGAATTATAGGCATGAGCTACCAGTGTCAGGCTTTGCACCTTTTATTTTGCTCTGTTAACCATAGGTTATAGGATAAGAGAATTTAGGAGAGAAAATGCCATTCTGTTTAATGTCCATCCAGCTTTCTTTCCTACACACTAAATCACATGGACTCCACACTTTTCTTACAGAGTTGAGGAACTTGCAGAAACTAAGATTACCTTAAGGCTTGACTGTAAAAGTCTCAAACTATTAACTAATAAATAAAGAGTAAAACATAAGTGTAGTTTAGAATAGAGATTCCTAAGTTAATGAAAAAATTATAAGAATTTTTTTCAAAAGACACATCTAGGAACAACTCAAATCTACTACTCCATAATACCCAAGACATATGGTGGTTTAGAAAATCCTCCAAATGACTCAAGAGACTTTCAGATTGAGAACTACTGATTATAGGAATATATGCAAGCTGGGTGCCAGTGGCTAACGCCTATAATCCTAGCTATTCAGGAGGTTGAGATCTGAGGATCACAGTTCAAAGCCAGCCTGGGCAGGAAAGTCTGTGAGACTCTTATCTCCAATAAACCACCAGAAAAAAAAAACTGCAAGTGGTGCTGTGGCTCAAGTGGTAGAGTGCTCGCCTTGAGCTGAAGAGCGCAGGGACAGCACACAGGCCTAGAGTTCAAGCCCCACGACTAACATGAGAAGAGAAGAGAAGAGAAGAATACATGCAGGGCCAAGTGCAGGTTGCTCACATCTGTAATCCTAGCTACTCAGAAGGCTGAGATAAGAGGACAGTGAAAGAAAGCCTATGCAGGAAAGTCCATGAAACTCATCTCCAATTAACTACCAAAAGCTGGAGCTGTGTCTGAAGTGGTAGACTGCCAGCTTTGAGTGAAAAAGCTAAAGGACAGCACCCAGGCCCTGAGTTCAAGCCCCCATATTGATATTAAAAACAAAACAGAAAAGGTCTAAAGACACGAGTGCCTGTCCTCTTTAGTGTCCCAATACTGTATCAGTTGTCACAGTTATAGAAACTATACAAAGATTTATAGCAACTTAGGCAGTTATAAAAGCAATGCAAGGGCTGGGAAGGTGGCTCAGTGGTAGAGCGCTTGCCTTGCATGTATGAGGCCCTGGGTTTGATTCCTCAGCACCACATAAGCAGAAAAAGCCAGAAGTGGCACTGTGGCTCAAGTGGTAAAGTGCTAGCCTTGAGCTGAAGAGCTGAGGGACAGAACCCAGGCCCAGAGTTCAGGCCCCATCACTGACAAAAAAAAAAAAAAAGAAAAGAAAAAGCAATGCAAAGGAGAAAGATGGGCCTTCAAAATAAGTAATCCAAACAGACACCCATAAGCACAAAAGGAATCTCACCTTCCATACAATTAGGTAGAGATGGGTCAAAGGCTAAAACATAGATTGTAAACTTGAAAATGTTTCTACGGAAAATCTTTGGGACCTGAAGTTATACCAAAAATTACTGGACAAGTAAGTGGCGCTGTGGCTCAAGTGGTAGAGTGCTCGCCTTGAGATGAAGAGCGTCGCAGGGACAGTGCCCAAGCCCAGAGTTCAAGCCCCACGACCAACAAAAATGAGATGTACAATGAGATGAGATGTGCAAGACGCTTTGTCAAAAACCAAACTTTACTATTTAGGTGTGTGTGTGGGGGGGGTGTAGCTGAGGAGGTGGGAGGGAAGGGATGGTAGGGGAAAAACAAAGGAGGAGGCAACAATGCTGGCTAAGAAATGTACTCATTACCTTGCTCATGTAACTGTAACCCCTCTGTACAGTATTTTCACAATAAAAAACTTAATTAAAAAAATTATTGGACAAGACACCAAAAGTACGATACATAAAAGAAAGAGATAAATTGAACTATAAACATTAACCATTAAACATTTATGTTCTGCAAAACACCTTAAGAGGATGAAACTGCAAATTATAGACTAGGAGAAAATATTTGGGTATCATTTATGTATCTAACAAAGAACTGCCATCTACTAAAATAGAGAACACTCTATATTCGACTATAACAAAACAAACAATCCAAACAGAATGTGGGCTGAAGTTATGAAGAGACATTGCACTGAAAACAGTCATGATAATGGCAAATAGACATTTGAAAAATGTTCAATCTTACCAGTCTTTAGGAAAATGCAAGTCATCTAATTATGATGAAAATGTAAGTTAAAAATCACACTATATTCTCATGACATATCTATCAAAATGGCTAAAATAAAAAATAGTATCACCGCTAATGGCTGACATAAGACTATGTGAGAATCTAATATAATCATTTCAGAAAACAAGTAAGCAGTTTCTTGAAACATTAAATATTCCCTATCATATACACATATATACCAATAAAAGTTCCTGGGTTTTTATTTCAAAGACATGAAAATTTTTATTTGTATAAATCTACAAGATGATTGTTCACAGAAATTGTAATAGATAAGAACTGGAAACAACTAAAATGTGCCTCAACAGTGAATGCTTGTACACATGGTAGTCTATTCACAATGTGAAGTTCTGCCAGGAATAAAAAAGAACCAAATATTAAAACAAACAATAACTCTGATGAATCTCAAGGGCATTATGCTGAGTGAAAAATTATATTCCCAAAAGGTCATATACCGCATGATTCCATTAAACTTAGAGAAAGAAAACAGATTGATAATGACCATATGTTAAGAGAGTATAAAGAAGTGGTTCTGTGGCTCGAGTAGTAGAGTACTTTGTCTTGAGCTGAAGAGCATTGGGACAGTGCCCAAGCCCACAGTTCAAGCCCCATGACCAAAAACAACAACAAAAAAGAGATGCAGAGATGACAAAATGGTATGCCATCAAAGAGCTTGATAACAATTGAAGAGCATCTTGGTTAGGTTGGTTATTACACAAATCTACATATGTTCCAATGTCAAATTCCTGGTTTTGATTCTGTATTATAATCATGCAAAATGGAATCACTGTGACAAATCGCGAGCTCTCTGCATTCTTGTTGCAAACCCTCAAGAATCTTTTTAAAAATAATCTATTACTCAGCAGTAAGAATGGCTTCAATTTTTTTCAAGCACAAAAAATAAAGATTATTATGTAACTGTAAGCCCTGTGTACATCACCTTTATAATAACAATAAATATTTAAAAAGGGAATCAAATAATTAGAAATTTATATTGAAAAGAAAATAAAAATAAAGATGATAAATCTCATTTAAATACAGTTAGAAAATAAGTTCTGTAAATAATTTTGAAACAATGGAAATATAGAATTGCTAGGGGTAGGTAGTGTAAACAGAGCGTAAAGCTCTATTTCAAACTTCCAGCACTACACACTTACACATACACAAATAAACACACACACACATACAAACATAGTATAGTTTTTAAATGGCACTGACCTTATGTTTGTCATCACTTGAAGATCTAGTGGCTTCATTCAGAGGAACAGCCCCATGTTCCCTTGCCTCTTTGAAAAGCTCATTCACAATTTTCTCAGTTGAAGGTCGAACTATATGTAATCCACCATACTCATGTTCTCCTGAATAAAAGCTTTAAACAGTATAGTCCATGAATAAAAATGGAATAGGCAAAATCTAAAGTAAGAAACTACCTTAAGTCTTATGAGATAAATTTTATTTAAGAGACATTATTGATTTCTGTGGAAATATTTGATTTTTAAAATGGAATTAAGGAAAAGATCGAATATAGGTACATATACTTCCTCACTTAGGTTGCAGAGATTCTGATGGAACATCTGGCACCCAGCTGGCACCCAGAGTTATAACTGGCATGCATGCTTCCCGTTCTGGGCTCAGTGGCTGCTTATGAAAGGCACCTCATTCACAAATCAGGGAAAAAGTGTGACAATGGGAGGCTAGTCCCTCCCCTGCAAGGAACTGACACTCAGGAAAGAGTAGTCAGTAGAGATCTTTATATTTAGTCATTATGAACATCCAACTCTATAGACTATAGGGCTATACAGTTTATCACAGATTTGTAATTGTAGGTCATCTACTCCATTATAATTCTCTATGTTAAAAACAAATAATTTGGAAGCCGTTGTTTTTCATATTTCTTATGTAGTGACTAATGTCCATATGAAACATAAAAATTTCCTTCACTTGAGAGTAACACTCTGTTTATCTTTTAACATATTTTTTTTTATCAAGAATACCAGAAAGTGGAAATAAAGTGGAAGATGACCAAGTCTACTCTAGTTCCAAACTCACACTAAACAGACTTGAAAAGCAATGGGGGAAATTATATCAGCACTGGAACTAGAAATGGAGTTCACTTGAAAGATTTTCTATACAATTAGCATGTGAAAAATGAACAGAATAGAGGGGAGAGCAGATCAACTTTCAATTTGTCAGTGAAAGAAAAATTCTACCTGGAAACAAATGGGCAGCAAAAGAACCCTACTCTGTGCTGTGGGGCAAGGGGCTTTCATTGGACTGCCAGTGCTTTGGAGAAGTACATTGGGAGGAGCAGGAGCTAGGGAAGACTTCCTCTCATGCTTGTACTCTGCCTTCACCCAGGCAGCTTGGTTTCCTCTTAGGATTAGCTGGATAGCAGATGGTCTTAGGACCCTGCCAAACACTGAAAAGCAAAAGCAAAACTTCCTGCTGCTTTTCCCTGTTCCAGGTTTCCAAACCCGCTTAAAACATGCATCCTCTTTAGCTTTCCTTTAGTGAGAAACATTTTTTTTTTGGAAAAGATTTACTAGCTCTTTTATGATTAATGGTTTTAATGTATATTTAAGAAGTCTTTGCCTACTCTAAGATTAAGCATATATTCTATTTTCTTATAGAAGCATCACTGTTTTAACTTTTATATTTAGACCCATAATCCATCTGGAACTGATGGTCTGCATATGGTGTAAGGGAGAGGCTAAGAATGATTCTTCACACAAATGTCTATATGTTCAAGTAAGTTACAATGCAATTCTCTCCCCTTCCCCTCTGCAGTGTCACATATCAGAAATCAAGTGGCCACCTGTGAGCACCTATGATTCCGTTCCTTGGATTTTCCCCTTACTGCCAGTCTTCACCCTCTTCACTACTGCAGTTTTGGTGTAAACCTTTATATCTGGTAGTGTAAGTCCTGTACTTTTTTGTAATCCTTCGTGAAGGTTCTGACTATTCTTTGGGTGTGAATGAGAAGCAGCAGTATTTTCTGACTAGTAAACGAACACTCTAGGCTTACATAAACATATTTGCAAATCAAACATTGATTGCAAAGATTTCTTTCCAATTTGTATACTTTTGTTTTACTTCTCCTTTTCGTCATGTGTTAACTATAGTTAACACTGTATAGGTTGAATGAAAACAGGGATAGGCGTTATCATTCCATTGACAACACCTGAACTTAAAATTGTACTATCTCATTCTTTTGATTACTTCAACTGTTTTCTTCTTTATTTCTTAGCCTCCTATCCTTTGTCTTACCATTGCCAGTCCTTCCTTTTAAGGACAAAACAGCTAACATTTACCAGGGTAAATGTGGTCATTTAATCCTCAGAACAATGATATCACCTCCAATTTATAGGTAAGAAAAATCCATCGACAGGCTAAAATTTTGTGACTGGGAAAGCCTACTAGGGCAGAGAGAGGGGACGGGAGGGGGGGCGGGTGGGGAGAGAATAAGGCCAAAACTTTATCACTTTAGTTTTTTTTGGCTAGTCCTGGGGCTTGCACTTAGGGCCTAGGCATGGTCCCTGAGCCACTTTGTGCTCAAAGTTAGTGTTCTACCACTTGAACTACAGTGACATGTCCGGCCTTTTTGAGTAGTTTATTGGAGAAAGGAGTCTTACAAGGATTTTTCTGCATGGGCTGGCTTCGAACTGTGATCCTCCAATATCAGCGTCCTGAGTAGCTAGGATTATAGGCAAGAACCACAGGCACCCAGCTTCACTATAGTTTATCACTAAATTTACATTTAAAAAATATTGACTCTACTGCATCCTCTATACAAATGTAACCCATTTGCTTGACTTTGAAGATTGTCTATGATATGGCTATATCCAGGACTGGCTATATAATTTGGACTAGTTGAAAACTGACAATGTAAGTCCCTTTTCTCAAAATGTATTAAGGATCCAAAACATTTCATAGAACACAGGTTACATACCCATGAAGTTCATCCTGGTTGCACCTCCACCTAGTAAACCTTTTTTTAATCTAAGTTTTTCTGCTACTAACCTGCTACGGTTCTGGTGGTTTAATCTGGATATATTGCTTATCAATCTAATGCTTCTTTATGCCTAGAATTGTATTTCTCATCTTCTATGCTCACCTAGATTCTAATAATCTTTTAAGTCTCAACACTGTGCTACTGTGCTAGACATCTACATACTTTATTATCTCAGTTAATCCTCAAAACAAAATTATTATATAATGACTTGTAGAAGACATGTGTATAAGGTGTATTGGAGTGTTCTTTTTTTGGTAGATTATGTATCTCCCTCTAATTTAAAATGAAGATCGCATTATACTTAGAATTTAGACAAAACATACATTGGCTTGAAATGGCAAGGAGTACAAACCATAGTGGCACACAACTATAATCCCAGCACTTGGGAGGTGTGGCAAATAATGAATCTGAAGCCAGTCTAGGCTCTTTTTCAAATAAAGAAAAAAAACACCCAAAGCTCATATAACCATGTTGATTTTAATAGTGCCTGAGGAGGTGGAAATAAAAATAAGCACTGTTTTTTTGTACCGCGCAAATCAGTAGATAAAATGACACTGAGCAAATGCAGATACTGAATGGGAAAGCAAGGGAACTATGTGTGTGCCTATCATTAAATGTTAGATAATAATCACACTAAGAAGCTAATAATACTTTTCTAGGCATCATGTCCTGTGTAATTAAACAGAGTTTAATTCTACATAAATATCCCTTAAGGAAGCTCATCTTTTTGGGTATATAAATAATACTCGAGATCAAACCAGGGCACAAAGTCTTTAAAAACTGCATTATTGCTGGGGACATAGCTCAACATAGTAGATATAGTAGAATATGTGCTTAGCATGTATGAGGCCCTAGGTTCAATTCTCAGCACCAACTAAAAAAAAACTGATTATGAAATTAAAGCTATTAATAACATTATTTCAGATAGCGTAAGTAAAACCATTCACTACAATATTCTAAGAATTATATACATAGAAAGCAAATTATTAATATACTTAAAAATTCATATACTTTGAGTTGCTATACCAAGAGCTAAAGTCATTCATTATATTGTCAAACTGAGGACAATACCAAATGAGTACAACTACAGTACACAAATACATACTGTACTTTAAAAATAGGAAAACCTATAAATTAAGAAGTTAAAAATACTATATGTACATACATATAAACATACATTATTTATATATATCAGAAATTATACTCAAGGACAGGATATTCAAATCGTGCCAAGATACCAACCTGCTGATTACAAAGGAAAAACTGTACCTTACAATGGAGTGATGTGTTGGTCAGCACCTTAACCAAGTGAGCATATCATCAATAGTGGTAAAACTTGGAATTATAGGGTTCCTGATGTGATATAATAAAAAGCAGAGAGTATCACTCATCTAGTATGCTTGACAAAAATGTTTTTAACAAGAATCTAATGAGGAGGAAACAATGATCTAAAATGTGGGGCATTTTATAAGACATGTGATTTAGACCCTTTTTAAAGTGTAATAAAACTCTATATTACGTAGGTGAGCTAACAACAAGCAACAAAAAAGGTAAAGAGAATGCTCTGGATTCAAAAATTCAAAACAGACATAATCAGATGGAAGGCAGATATGGTACTTGGTTGGATCCTAAAATTCCAAGAAAAGGCTGTAAGAGCTACCTAATTACAGATTATACAATAAATGATATCACAGAATCACTGATAATTTTGTGTTATCAGAGATATTAAGCCATGTACATTTATTCGTAGGGGATACACAGTGAACATTTACAGACTAGTGTCATGATGATTACAATTTGCTGAGTAAAGAAACATCATGCATGTTTGCAAGGTTAAGGCATAGTAACAACTAGTAACTAAGGTGAATTGTACTCCATATTTATTCATTATACTAACCTTTTGACTATGCATGGGTTTCAAAATTTGTAAAAATTAGTAGCGAAAACATAAACATTATTTTGCTTTATGTTCATGTGCGGAGAGATACTTTATATACTTGACTCTCATCTCCTTCAAGTTTCATGGTTGACATTTTTATACTTCAGGAATTTTAACAGCAAACACTATCCAGGAGGTTGCTTATTATATGAGGCATAACACAACAGAATCAGACAGAATCAGAAGTTCTATTAAGATATTCCTTTTTGGTAATAATGGGTTGAACCCTGGACCTCTCGTGCCTCCAGGCCTAGCAGTTAAAGATTCTTAAATGGAGAACAAAAACCAACAAATGCTGCATGGATGGCTTTAAGAAACATCGGAACCCTTAAAAACGTGACAAAACAGCACATGCCTGCTGCTTTGGAAGGAAGGGGCTTAAAATTTTCATTAGATCCTCAATGTGTCTTATTACTCAAAAAATACTTAAGAACCACTGAGCCAAACAATACCACTACAGATATGATTTCTGTTATTTCTTTTTGGCCAGTCCTGGGGCTTGGACTCAGTATCTCTAAACTTCTTTTGCCCAAGGCTAACGCTTTACTACTTGAGCCACAGTGCCACTTACGGCTTTTTCTGTAATTGGAGAAAGAAGTCTCACAGACTTTCCTGCCCCACCTGGCTTCAAATCATGATCCTCAGATCTCAGCCTCCTGAGTAGCTAGGATTACATGTATGAGCCACCAGCACCTAGCTTGATGATATGATTTCTTATACTACCTAATAGACCAGAAATTTCAAGTAATTTTCTTAGTTTCTTTTAGCCTTTGAACTATAAAAACTTTAAGAATACTATGTATTTTAAGAAATTATTATCATTATTAAAATCTCCAAACTCTTTTAAGTTAATTTGGACTTGCGAGTTTTAAATAGTCACAATATTTTTAAAACAAGACTTACCGTTGAGGTGGTGTCCTTGGGCTCTTAAAGACTGTAGCTTTAGGTCTATCAGACTTGGAAGATTTGCTTTTCACTTCATCTTCATATAATTCTGCCAAGGCCAACTATATAATAACATGCTTGTTATAAAACATATTAACACTAGAAATAGATTCTACTATACAACCTACAAATAGAATTTAAATTTAAATTGAGTTGTAAGGATTGTTCATGGAAAAAATGAAAGTTGTTGCTTCAAAAGATGATTCCTTTTAAAAATAAACTCATTGCATATTACACTGATTAGAACTAACTAGATTATTAGAGCAAAATTTAAATATAGTTGTTTAATTATTTTCTACTATTTAATTATTTTCTAATTATTAACTACTCAACAGTTTAAAACCCTATCAGCAAATCATTTTCAAGATTGGTCTTATATAACTCTTCGAATTTATAAAAAATTTCACTTAGATATTTCAAAATGTAATGACAATTTCAAAGATATTGCCTAAAAGTCTATTAGAGGGGCTGGGAATGTGGCCTAGTGGTAGAGTGTTTGCCTAGCATGCATGAAGCCCTGGGATTGATTCCTCAGTACTACATAAACAGAAAAAGCCAGAAGTGGCACTGTGGCTCAAGTGGTAGCCTTGAACAAAAGAAGCTCAGGGACAGTGCCTCGGCCCTGAGTTCAAACCCCAGGACTGGAAAAAAAAATGTCTATCGGAGAAAGGATGAGATGGTGGATTAGAAGTGTCCTGAGTTTGACACTGAACAAGAAGAGTGAAGTAACAAAGGAGAGACTGTATTCTGAAGAGCAAAAGAGACAGAACATAAAGAATCATGATGGCAGGATAGGTGGAAAGCAGGGAGAAACAAAAGATGCAAGAGAAAAGTACAGAGAAGTAGTAAAAGCCCCAAACCCTGTCCCTGGCTCACCAGGATCGGGAACTGGGGTCAGGGAGCTGAAGGTGAAATCATATATTTAAGCCAGACAGTGGGCAATTCCAGCTGGAGGGTAATCCCACACTGTCTGCAAACCTGCTGGGGTTTGATAAGCTAGGGACTGCTTTAGTGTGAAAAAGCTAGCTTTGCTCAAATAAATCTCATTCTCCTGTCCTCATCTTACCAACTATCTAACAGCTTTGCTATATAGCTTGATCTCAGTAACAAGACTGAGCTACTTCTGATGGCTTAAAAACAAGAAAATCAATGCAACAGTAATACTTACAAAACACTATGGTGGAAATAAACTTTACAATTTGGGAAATGAACTTTACAATTTGGGAAGGGAGTGGTGGGGGGAGGGAAAGTGAGAAAAAACAGGGAGGGGGTAACAATGTTCGACAAGAAATGTAGTATTACTTAGTTATATAACTGTAACCCCTTTGTACATACAATAAAATTAAATTAAATCTAAAAAAAGAACTTTAGGATAAAAACAAAAATAAAAACAAGGAACAATCATGGTTTAGGGAATCTAAAGACAGCTGACACTGTATTGAGGGAGGGAGAAATGGTTGTAAGAGATGATCATGGAGAGAGGAACAGTGTGATGTGGACCTGCGGAGACATTTAAGCCACAAGGAACTTGTGCATCAAAGGGTATGGTGCTCAAAAGGCCACCCTCAAAAAGCATAGAGCAAGTCCCATTGCTGGAGTCACAGCAAAAACACAACAAATCTGTGGATGGTGTACTATTGGACCTCCAGATCCTGCCTCCTGGATTTGTGTGTTGGCTGCCGGGGGAGCTGAGACTCATGACCCTAGAATCTTTGAATCATGTAATATTACTTCCCTTACACAAGGAGGGAAAACTATTGGGCAGTGTATGAAAACACAGAGGCCTATACTTCCATGAATCTTAGCAAGTGTTAGCTGCAGGTAAGTCTGAGAGCCCTGAGGTTTGGCTTTCTGAATCATGTCATCACCACAGACTCCTCCCACAAAAGGAGATAATTGTATGGTACTCAAAAGCATTGAAGCCCTCCTTCAGGAACTGCATCCCAGTATATGCTTTCAAGTGTAACTGAGACCCTGACCCCAAACCCTCTGAATCATCTGATATCCACAGCCACCTTCATCCCAAAAGGAAGGAAACTGCTGGGAAGGGCCTGGGAGCACAAAGAGTGCCTAGATTCCTGTCAGTGAGAATTCAGTGCTCTGCTTGTCTCCCTACCCCTCCCTAATCCATTCAGAGTCACACCAGGGTTTGGACACTTGCTTAGACAATGCCCTGAAAAATCCAATTCTTCCAAAAAGAAATTTATAAGAAAGAAAAATGAAATTAAAGAGGACAGTAATAAATACCTGGGAAAAGTCTAAGATAAATCAAAGAGCTTAATAAAATATATAAAGACAAAGGGAACACATTCACTAAAGATATGGAAATTCTGAAAAAAAAAATACAAAACCTGAAATTATGGAAAAGCTCAATAAGTAAGAACAAAAAACAAAACTCAGCTGAAAGCATTCCCAGTAGACTGGATAAAACTGAAGACAGATTATCAGGGCTTGGAAATGTATTATACCCAGGAGTACTAGCTCATACTTAGGAGGCTAAGATCTGAGACTCATGGTTCAAAGCTAGCCCAAGCAGGAAGGTCTATGAGATCTTGTTTTCTAGATAACCAGAAAAATGCGGAAAGTGGAATTGTGGCTCAAGTGGTAGAGCACTAGGTTTCAGTAATGTATTGCAACACTAAAATTTTTTAAAGTACAAATGAAACATACGAGACCTCTGGAATACTATCGAAAATCAAATTTACAAATCATGAATACAGAAGGAAAAGTAAACTAAAACATAGAAAATATATTCAAGAAAATCTTGATTAAAAAATAGGATTCCAATTAAGTCCAGAAAAGGACAGCTCAAGTATACATTACAGTTAAAACCTCAGGTTGTACAAAACTACATAGAAGAACGCAACACCACCAAAAGCTGTAAAAGAAGATCTTCCCATGTCAACTATAAAAGCAAATCTAGTAGAAAAAACAGATTCCTCAAAAGAAACTTTAAAAACAAAGAGAGAATGATTTATTTCAGACCCTGAACCAGCAAAGTTACTTTTATAATTACTCCAATATCCAAACTAGATAAGGGCACAACAGAAAAAAAAATTATAGAGTGATTTTCTTTTTCTTTCTTTTTTTTTGGGGGGGGCTGTCCTAGGGCTTGAACTCTGGGACTGGGCATTGTCCCTGAGCCAATTTGTGCTTAAGGCTAGTGCTCTACCACCTAAGCCACAGCGCTACTTCTGGCCTTTTCTGATTAATTCATAAGTCTCATGGACTTTCCTGCTTTGGCTGGCTTTGAACAGAGAGCATCAGATCTCCGCCTTCTGAGTGCTTATGATTATAGTGCCCAGTGCGGTTTTCTTTCTAACTATTGACACAAATGTTCTCAATTAAAAACTTGTAAACCAAATCCAAAAGATCATACATTATTCCCAAGGATGCAAGGATGGGTCAACGTACACAATCAATGAGTAAAACACAAAAACTGACTAAAGGACAAAAATTATATTATCATCTCAATACAAAGAAAATGTCTGATAAAGTCCAACATCTCTTCATGATAAAAGTCCTGAAGAGGGGCTGAGAAGGTGGCTCAGTGGTAGAGCGCTTGCCTTGCATGAATGAGGCCCTGGGTTCGATTCCTCAGCACCACATAAGTAGGAAAAAAAAAGCCGGAAGTGGTGCTATGGCTCAAGTGGTAGAGTGCTAGCCTTGAGCTGAAGAGCTGAGGGACAGCGCCCAGGCACAGAGTTCAGGCCCCACGACCGGACCACCCCCCCCCCCCAAAAAAAGAAGAGTATCTACTGAAAACTGTACTAACTAGGTAATTTTTACAATAAAATAGTTCAGAAGTAATTGATATCTAAGAAACCAGTTGGGAATAACATTATCCAAGTCTTTAAAACCTTTGATATCTACTTTATTTCTTAAAATATCATCACTTTGGTTGCTTCTTGCAAGTACTTCACATTCCAATTAAATCTTAGAGGGCAGATGATCAATTCTTTTTTTTTGGGGGGGGGGTGGGTCTGGTCGTGGGGCCTGAACTCTGGGCCTGGGTGCTGTCCCTCAGCATTCCAGCTCAAGGCTAGCGCTCTACCACTTGAGCCACAGCACCACTTCCGGCTTTTTTCTTTTTGCTTATGTGGGTGCTGAGGAATTGAACCCAGGGCCTCAGGCATGCAAGGCAAGCACTCTACCACTGAGCCACCTTCCCAGACCCAGACGATCAATTCTTAAATACTATTATTGGTGTATCAAATTATTATTAATAAATTTGTTATGTGCCTGCCATAGAGTAGAAAGATAAAAAATGTTATGCATGTATGTCTGTAAGCATATCTTGAACCATTAATTATATATTGATTCACTAGATTAAGTGTGTAAACCATCTGCTAGGTAACAAGTCATGATTAAACAAGTCTCACTTTTCAGATAAAAATTAGGAAACGGATTTAGAGAGTGGATGGTTACACAGTCTTAACAATACTGGCATTAAAGTGTACTAACTAGTGATAAGTAACAGCACACTTGTCAGGCAAGGACTGAGCCAGGATAATAAAGGAGTTGTACATAGGCCCTTTAGAGACAGCATTAATTCTCATCACCTGTAATTTACAAGTGAAGACATTGCTGACCATAAAGGCCAAGAGTCTTCTCCTAAATTTTCAGAACAAAATACTCCTTTTAAAAAACAAAAAACAAAAACAAACACAAACAAACAAAAAACTACAGCCTCTTAGGTCCACATTAGAAAACATAGAAGTGGATAACTTCCTTTTCTTCAGTTCTCTTTACTACCTCTACCTCTGAAACAGACCTGGGCACTGGAAGTCATCTCTGCATTCCTCAAATTCTTCATCTTATGAACTACTTGTTGGAGCACTGAATGATAATTCATCTTTAAAATGTCAAGTTCAGTATTCACCTCCTATTCCTTCAAAAAAAAAGTATGAAGGGTTCCAAAAGGTTGAACAATCTTGAAAAGGCAAATTCCTTAGACCAATTAACTATAGTTAACATTTAATTGTAAACCAAAGCCAAACAAAAAGAATTTGCAAATGGTGCAGTCCCCAGAACCAATGTGATCTGATTTCCAAGTGTAGAAAAAAGGAAGGCACAGACAACTGGTTGGATGAACAGGTTAGTTGATTATAGCTTAACTAGTTGCCTAGAGAGTTAACAGCAACCAAGCAAAGCTCCACTTTGGTTAATCCAGTTAAACTCCATTGATTCAGTTTACTGGGCCCAGTCCATCACTGTCCCCTAAAAATTTCATTTCATACCCTTCAACAGGTACCCAGCACCAACTATGGATTTGATGACCTGTTTAATATCTTCATCCCCAGATCTTAGCAGTAAGTTACGAGGCAGATAGTTAACATATTGGTTCAAAAATGCAGAACCAATGTGTAGTTATTAAACTGTTCTGTCCAAGTTTGCGGAGGAGTCTCGTTTATTTTCTATTATAGCTCCTTACCAGTGTAAACCTCCTGTAAGGAGGTAGGGAAAAAAAGAGCAGAATGGTGTTAGCATCTGCCCAGAGTGTTTGGTGCACTGGTATTTAGTTAACTGAGGTGGTTTTCAACATCACCAACTTTTATTTCTCTGTTCCGCGCACGGTCTCACCCACCCCCTCTTGCAACCATAGAGGCTCACTCCTTTAACAAAGAAAAGCTACTGGGTAAAAGGAACCATGTTTTAGGTCGAAGTCATCCACTCCGCGACGGGATCCTGGAGGAGGAGCCGGAGCACGGCGTCGCTTCGCTAGTGACCGCGGATGGGACCCCGCGGGCCAGAGACCGCAAGTCCGCGGAGTCCTTAACAAGCCGGCGGACGTCCGACCCCGCGGGATGCCATCCCGGCCACCGTTCGCTCCCCGCTTTGGGAATGGGGCACCTGCGCGCCGGCGCCCGCACACCTCTCCGCGGCCCGCCGGGGTGGCGCACCTCCCGGCTGGGCGGCGGGCGACCCCCGCGCCGCAGCGGCGTCGGCCCCAGCAGTGGTCGGGGGACGGCTCGGCCGCACGCGGCCACCCGCCCTCGCGGGACTCCCACTGCCACCCCGCCGCCAGCCCCCGACGTCAGCAGCCCGCCTCACCTGTAAATCCCGCGCGCTCGGGGGCCGTGGCCTGGAAGACCGCCCCTCCTGCTCCTCCGGCCCCGCGCCGCCACCCTCCGCCATCTTCCACCCGCTCGCGGCGCCCCTGCGGACGCGTTACGGCGACTTCCGGATCTGGTTGCTTAGCAACTGCGGGAGGAGGCGGAGCCGTGCCGGGAAGCCCCCGAGAGGGGGCGGAGCCGCGACCGAGGCGTGCGCGCTCCGGTGCCTTAAGGTTTAAAGAATGTCACTTAAAGGTCCAGAGAATATCCTGGTCACTGCCACACGCTTGAAGGTGCCGCGGGCCGTCCTGGAGGGCAGCGTCGAGTCACAGATTCACTTCACCCGACGGTGAATGAGAACAGGCCTTGGTTGTGTTACACCATGAACGTAGCAACCATATCTTGGTCAAGTTCACTCATAGACTTACAGGTACTGTGACCCCACGGTGTGAATAGGTAGTTAGAGCAGACAGCTTAAAACTGCAATCAGAGCTGCACTCTTTCAAACCTGCTTCATTCAACTAGAGTGGATCTAACTTCTTATTCCCAGGCACTCTTAGGCCCCAGAAATGCAGAAGCAAAAATAGTCAGGGTCATCATCCAATTCTCCATCTAGTGGGGAAGAGAAAGATGTCAGCAGGAAATACACGGATTTATAGTAGAGCTTTGCTGGAAGTGTTACGTGAAGAATGTGGGTGTGAAGGGGGCTGCGGGTGCCTGCTGTGCGCCTTCTGTTGTGTGCTGTAGCTTCGAGCGTGACACCCTGAAACATACTCCTTAGGTTTATTGATTAGTGTGAGCTCAAAGTGATTCTGGATTAGTTTTGTTTTTTTGTTTTTTAAATAGTCTGCAGGGAACTGCGCCCTACACAGCTTGCAGATGGCAGGATAAGCTGATAAACCAGCACCTTGCCTGACTACGACATCAGGGCAGGGACTACAGAAGAATAAGGAACTAAAGACTGGACGGTAAAACTTTGACCTCACAACTTTACAGGAAACAGAAAGGAGATCCACCGAGCAGAAAGGCATCCAACAGTCACTATTTAACCTACGGCCAAGCTCCATAACCAGGAAGATGAATGAAGATTCCCCAAGATAGTGGAGATAAGTTGAACTGCCATCTTTCCTATGATACTATGGCATGCACTGCCTTTCTCTGCCATATTTCTTTTCTAATAAATTTTTCTAACATTTTTACTTATGTTTGCGTCCTCCCTAAATTCTTCTCTTGTGAACCCAAGGATTGAGGTTGTATAGCCATCTTAAACTTACTGGTAACATTCAGTGGGTTAACAGGGAAGTTAGGAATTAAGTTGGACTTTACTTATCAAATGGTTACAAAACTACTTAAAAAACACCAGGTGCAAGATCACTGTAACCCTCCTCCACCCCCACTCTTACCCCTGAAAGCAAGGAACATACTTTCAATTGAAAAAAATGACCTGTGTATCCCAGGGGAAAGAAATCTTACCACTGGAGACAAGGAAGGAATTTACACCAAGGAAAGTCAGTGCAAATAGATCTTTTCTAACTAAAATCTTTCTAGCTTCTTTCCCCTCTTGGTTTACTTAGTAGGTAAACCCAACCATAGACATTTATGATTTTATAAGGACAACCCCATATACAGGTAAAATTGTATTAAATAATTCAGCTGAGCCTGGGAATGTGGCTTAGTGGTAGAGTGTTTGCCCATGTAAAGGCCTCGCTTGACCAAAGTAGCATCATCTTGACCTAGAGCTCACTTTACTTCCTCCTTCCTTCTGTGAGGTTGCTGGTTATTGTGTAAGGAAAAAAATATTCTGTTAAACCGCAGTCTGATTGGGGTAAGGGCCATGTCCTGTTTGGCTCAGAAATACCCAGATTCTGTCTGTGTCTGTGGATCCTGTTTTTGTACAAGTGCACCTGGATCCTGTTTTTCAGTATTGTAAATCTTAAAAAAAAAAATAACTGCTGCATTTATTTATTTTTGTTTTGTTTTTTTGTCAGTCATGGGGCCCGAACTCTGGGCCTGGGCACTATCCCTCAGCTCTTCAGCTCAAGGTGAGTGCCCTACCACTTGAGCCACAGCACCACTTCCGGCTTTTTCTGAGTATGTGGAGCTGAGGAATCAAACCCAGGAGGGCCTCATGCATGCAAGGCAAGCACTCTACCACTAAGCCATCTTCCCAGCCCTGCTGCATTAATTTCTAGAAACTTGTTTGCCTTGCAAGACAACACTTGGTTGTGGGTTTTTTTTGCTTTAAAAACCCTACCTTCTGGCAGGAGGGATCGCAGTCACAGCTCCTGAGTCTATGCTGCGTCCCTGGCCCATCAGTTGAGCTCCTCTATAATAAAGCTTAATTTTAATCTTTGAGCTTTAAGTGGTTGACTCTTTAGACCCTGCAATACCTAGCATGCATGAAGCCCTGGGGTTGATTCCTCAGTACTACATAAACAGAACTGACACTGTGGCTCAAGTGGTAGCCTTGAACAAAAGATACTCAGGGACAGTGCCCAGGCCCTGAGTTCAAGCCCCAGGAATGGCAAAAAAAAAAAAAAAGCAGCTGGACATGGTAGCCTATCCTGATTAAATGCTTGTAATATCAGCACTCTGAAGGCTTAGTGGAAGTAAGAAGAATTTGAGGCCACAGGTCTAGGTGGATGTAAGTAAAGATGTTAGGAAAACTGTCTCAAAAACCCCCAAAATGTAACAATAATAACCTCAAAGGCTGAGGATGAGCACTTGCATAGCACACACAAGGCCCTGGATTCAATCTCTAGCACTGTACAAAATAACGTTTTCATGATTTCCACCTGCTTAAACTTTTATTTTTTTAAAATTTTTTCTTTCATTGTAAAGGTGAAGTTCAGAGGAGTTACAGTACATTTCTATTTGAACAGTGTCACCTCTTCCCTCATTTTCTCCCAGGTTTTTTCCTCCCAACCCCCTCCCCTCCAAGTTGTATAGTTCATTTCCAAAATAGTGCTTAATGAGTATCACTGTTGCATTTGCTCACCTTTTGCCCTACCATTTCTTTGCATTCCCTTTACCCTCTCCAAATTAGATAAACTTGCACATAACATAAAAGGTAGAGAAATCAAAAACAGAGATAAAAGGGGAAAAACAGAAGGAAACCCCTCCACAAAACTATAAAAAAGCCTCTTGTTTCCATTTCTTGGAGTTCAGTTCAATAAACATAATTTTATATGATCATATCCACCCAGCTATTGAACCCTTGTGATCCTCTCCTAAGAATATCCTCCTTTGGTCACACTGTCTGACTGTTTGGAGTCCTGTTTAACTTTTCATGTCAAGTGTCATTTTTTTTGTCTTTTATTTTCCATTGGGTTTACTTGTAGATTTATAGGCACATTCTAATTATTACAAATGAGGGAAAGCATGCAAACTATTAAACTTTTAGTTTAGTTTGTTTTATATATCTAGCTCCAGACTCTGAGAGAATAAAGGAGGAATTTTTCTCCTCTACAGTGTATTTCATGTATAATCTCATCTATTCCTTTGCTAGGTAAGTATTGTTATTGCCCTTTTATACCCAAAGAAACAAAATGGGAACTGAATCCAGCCTGCAGTAAATGGCAGTATAGAACTGAAACCTTACGTTTGTTATATTGAAATTATTGTAGTGTGTGTGTTGGTACTGGGATTGGGCACTGTCCTTGAGATTTTGTACTCAAGGCTAGTACTCCACCACTTGAGCTTTACTTCTGTCTGGTGGATAATTGGAGATAAAGCGTCTGAGCTGGCTTTGCACCATGATCCTCAGATCTCAGACTACTGAGTAGCTAAGATTACAGACATGAACCACCAGCACCCTGCAGTTCTTGTTTTGAATATAAACTTATGGTATAGAGTAGAAGTTTAGGAGAAGAGACTAAAGATGGATATTGGATGGTGGAGAGGAGACAGATTTGGACTAGAGATGTAGGCTTGAGACAGGTTCTGAAGAAAGAAAATATACATTTAGTGCTTTGAAAAGTGAATAGGTAAATGAAGACAATAGGAAACCAACATTTCACTATTACCAAAGCCCTTTTCCATTTACAAAAAGTCAAGAAATAAAAAGAAGTCAGAACCAATGCTCATATCTAGTAAAAATCCTAGTTACTAAGGAGGCAGAGATTGGGTGGATCACAGTTCCTCTGATAGCTGGGTATGTTGGCATGCACATATCATCTCAGACTGGTAGAAAGTATAAAGAGTAGGATCACAGTCCAGTCTAGCCTGAACAAAAATTGACACCCTACCTCACAAATAATCAAAGCCCCTTCATGGTGTTCAGGTGGTAAAATAAGAGCGAAGCTCTGAATTCAAACCTAAGTAGCACAATTGGTGGGATTGGGAGAGTGAGAATAAGAGTAGGAGCAACAGAGAGAGAAAGAGTGAATTCACATTGTATAACTTTACCTATTCTGGACATCACAGGGTCAAGAACAGAGGTAATTGCAATGAACAGTGGCTTTGTTCCTTTAAAAGATGATTTTTTTAAATTTTTGTCTGTTGTAGGGCTTGAACTCAGAGCCTAAGCCAGTCCCTGAGCTCTTTTGCTGAAGGCTAGCACTCTACCACTTTGAGCCACAGCTTCACTTGCAGTTTTTGAGTGTTTAACTTGATATAAGAGTCTCACAGAGACATTTCTGCCAGAGCTGGCTTTGAACTTTGATCCTCAGATCTCAGCCTCCTAAGTAACTAGGATTACAGGCATGAGCCACCAGCACCTGGTTGAGGGGTTTTTAATTATTCATAAAACATATACTTTTTACAGGTAGCAATTTTCTTAGATCTTATATGTAATTTCATAGCATATATAGCAACTCTACTACAATTCTTACTTGGGTTAGGTATAGTCATTGATTTAATAGAAGTTATTAAAGACCAAAGAAATAAAATGATTTTTCACGTCATTCAGCTATTAAAACCTAGTTACTAAGTTCAAAATTCAGATCTACTACACTCATAAGTACATTTTTTTTGAGGATGGGAGCTGTCATGGGATTGGAACTCAGGGCCTGGTTGCTGTCATAGAGCTGTTTTGCTTAAGGCTAGTGCTCCACCACTTTGAGCCACAGCTCCACTTCTAGGTTTCTTTCTTTCTCTCTCCCTCT